CTGGGGAGGGGGTACAAAACAGAAGTCCTGTGGGAGAGTCGGTCATAGAGCTGAGGTGCCAAGGGGGAGGTCCCCAAGAGACAGAGTCCCCAGGGGGAGCCACAGTGGGGGGCCCACCCTGCCCTGGGTGACCGGCCCTGCTGTGCACCTGCTCTTTGGACAGTACATCCATGTGTTCCTCAATGAGGTGACAGCGCTGGTCCCAGTGCTCAACGAGGCCAAGCACTCCTTTGCCCTGTATACCCCTGAGAGGACACGGCAGAGGTGGCCGGTGCGATTGGCTGCTGCCACCGAGCAGGACATGAACGACTGGGTGAGTAGGTGGTAGTCCCCACAGGCCAGGGTCCAGGGACAGTGGTCACGGTCAGGCCAGTCTGGCATGCCCAGAGTAACCGGCTATGCGCCCTGCCAGCTCGCCCTGCTTAGCCTGTCTTGCTGCGAGAGCCGGAAGGTCCTCGGCCGCCCATCCCCACAGGCCATCTGGTCAGTTACCTGCAAGGGGGACATCTTCGTGAGCGAGCCCAGCCCGGAACTGGAGGCCCACGAGCACCTGCCCTGTGACCAGATGTGAGTAGGCTACACTTCGACGGGCCTGGGGCCTGGCCTTCCCCTCCCCAGCACCAGAGCATGGGGTTGCAGAAGGCGTCCCAGAGGCCCGGAGCCCACACGGGTCCCAGCTTCTTGTGGACCAGTCAGAGGCACGGCTGCTGGCTCCCAGGCCCACAAATTTCCTAGGCTGGGCTCAGGGCGGGTCAGGAGCGTGCAGTCAGACAAGGGCTCACTCCTCCACCCCAAGCCTGCCAGGTCAAGGCAGAGCAGCTGTGTCCCTCCATCTGCCCAGGACAGGGCACTCAGTTGCCTCCAGCTCCCTCTGAGCCCCTCTGCATGGCATCGTCTGGGGCCCAGGGGCAGAGAGGGAGTCCCTTCTGCCACAGGAGAGTCTGGCCTGGGCTGGGCTTTCAGGCAGAGTTTCCGAGGGGCACTGAAGTCCATAGGAGTGGGGCATGAGAGGACTTGAAGCTCAGTGGCTGAGAGGGCGGCAGCAGGTGCTAGTGGAGGCGGGACCTGGGGGACCCAGAGGACCCAGAGCCGAGTCGCCAGGCCAGAGTGGGCCGAGGGCGGGACTGGACACACTGAAAGCCACAAGAGGGAGCGCAGGGCCTGAGGAGCGAGTGTGAGCAGAGTCCCAAGGAGGAGGGGGACCCAGCAGGAAGCTCGGGAGCTCATAATTCTGTCCCAGGACTGGACAGAGGAGCTGCCCAGCAGATCACCCCGAGCCACCGAGGCCCTGGGCTCAGTTACCAGTGGATACTAGGACTGGGTATCCACAAGAAGCCCCTGCCGTGGGTCAGAGGAGTCAGGCCCTGTCTGGTGACGGTGACAGGGCCTCGGCCACAAGAGGCCGATCCGTGCCAGCTGCAGCCTGTGCTCTGTCTGCCCAGGAGGCTGACTGTCACAGTGCAACCTGGCAGCCTGTTGACCACCTGTTGCTCATGAAGAGGATTAAACGTCACATCCGGCTCTGCCGTGACATTCAAGCCTGGCTGCACCCGTCACTGCCCAGCCCCCCCCCCGCTCCGTCCCAGACCCCACTGGGCAGCTGGCCCTCTCCGTGTCACCTCAGGTCAGGTGGACAGGTCCCTGAAGACTCCCCCCCATGAGGGGCCTGACCCTGCGTCTTTCACGTGCGGACCGTCGTCAGGGTTGACATGCAAAAGGGACAGCCAAGCAGGGGAGAAATTCTTGGTTGGAGCCTGAGAGCCAGCAAACGCCACATCTGGGGGAGGCCCCAGGACAAGAGGGCTCAGGGCGGGTGGAAGGTGGGACAGCTGGGACTGAGATGGGTTCTCCCTGTCCTCCCAGGTTCTGGCGGCAGGTGGGAGGCCACCTGCGGGTGGTGGAGGCCAACAGCCGGGGTGTGGTGTGGGGCCTCGGCTACGACCACACGGCCTGGGTGTACACGGGCGGCTACGGCGGTGGCTGCTTCCAAGGTGAGGGTGGCCCGAGGCTCTGTCCGGCGGAACCTTCCCGGGCAGTCCCTCCTCTAATCCCTGTCTGGCTTCCCTGCCCAACGTGGGGCCACAATCCCAGTGCTCACACTCAGTCAGCTGCTGGCTGACAGGTGACCTTCACCACTGCCAACACCAGAGGACATGGTACCATGAGGCACCAGAGCCCGAGACCAGGCCTCGCCTCCCATATACCCTGGAAGTAGTCACCCGCTGAGCTGAGAGCATTGAAGATTCTGGAAAGGCAGCTGCCAGGGCCCAGCAGCCCCTCATTTCAGAGACCCAGCACCTTGGTCCCTTGATTCCCAGACCCAAACTCTGGCTCCTCATTAGGTGGGTTGTCCCTTTGGGCAAGAGCTTGCTGAACCCCTGTGGGCTCCCCAGCTTCTGGGAGGCAGGGTCCCCGTGTCTCCTACTAGGAAATGGAGGCAGAGACCAACACTGAAATGGGATGTTCCAGCCCACATGCCCCACTGCGGGGAGCCACTAACCTTGTAGAACTGTGGTCCACTGAGACCACAGGAACGTGCATCTGAGCAGGCTACCGACTTCCCTATGTGTGAGGCAGGAATTTGTCTTCATTTTTCAAATGAGAAAGTGGGGACTCACAGAGGTTATGTACATGGTCCAAGGTACCTTTTGTTAATAAGGAGTGGGCCTCATCCTTTCTGGTGCCAGGTAAGTAGGATGGCAAGGTGGAAAGAGATGGGACCAAGAACAGAGGTGAGGCAGGAGTGCTGCTGGAGGTGGCACGGATGGGAGGTTTACTATGCAGCAGGTTCTTCTCATCAAGGTTGTGCAACCCCAGACTAATCCCAGTCACAGAGAAGAGAAGCCCCGGCCAGGCCAGCCCCTCCGAGATAAGCTCAACAGGCCCGTCCGCCCCTTCGGCTGACCTGGTCCCAACCCACCCTCCCCACTGTTCTCTGTGGGAATCACGTTTCTGATGAAAAGCCAGAGTCCCTGGGGCCAGCATGGCCTCAGTCCCTGCATCCACCTCTCCCCGTAGGTCTGGCCAGCAGTACCAGTAACATCTACACACAGTCAGACGTAAAGTGCGTGTACATCTATGAGAACCAGCGCTGGAATCCCGTCACGGGTTACACCAGCAGGTGAGTACCCAGTGCCTGGCTGGGTGCCGCCGGGCGAGGCCCTGACTTGACAGAGACTGGACAGCAGTGTCTATCATAGCCTGAAGTCCAGTATAGCCCAGAGCTGGTATCAGGCCCTGACAGGGACCTAACTGAATCTTACAGCTCTCCCAGGTGGTTTCTTTCCTTGAATCTTGAAGTGTGATGCATATTTTAAAAACTCACTAAGAGGTATAACATATATAACGTGCACAAAACATACATATATACATAAATATATGTATTGTATGCATGTGTATATAAATGCATATATATAGGGAAACCTCAAAAAATTTGGAATTTATTTATAAAAACGTATATGTTTACTCTTACATGTTTAAACTTCAGTCACCTTCAAAGTACTCTCTGTTTGATGCAGCACACCTCTTGGGACAATCTCTCCACTGCTCAAAACAGCTTTTGAGCTTGTCAATTTTGATACCTTTTAGTGCTTCTGCTGCTTTTTGTTTCATATCTTCTGCATCGGAAAGACATTTCCCTCTGAGGCCTTTTTTCAGCTAGGGAAACAAACGAAAAAGTTGCTTGGGGTGAAATTGAGTGAATAGGGAGGGTGGGGCATGGGGTCCTGCTGTTTTTGATCAAAAACTGCTGAATGCTCAGCACAGTGTGGGCAGGTGTGCTTGGAAATCACCTGTTGTGAAGTGGGCAAAGGCATTGGAAGAATCTTTTAAAAAAATTCCCTGAAGCTGAATGCAGCCTCTCCCAATGCTAGCTGATACACTGATGCGGATGAATTCCTAGAACACTTACATAGTGGATGAAACCTGTACTACAAGGGACCCACCCTCCAAAAGATAATTCCGGGTTTTTTGGGGTCTCCCCTAGTGTGTGTGTATTCATCTCACTGAGTTATCACAAATCAGGCCCCCGTGTAATCACCACCTAGGTCAAGAAATAGAACATTGCCATCACACCCCTATACCCCAATGCCTGTGGGTGCCCCTTCTCTTTTTTTTTTTTTGAGTTGGAGTCTCACTCTGTCGCCCAGACTGGAGTGCAGTGGCCGCTCCCGGCCACCACAGCCTCGACCTG